CGTCTTCTAAAATATTGTATTTCCTCAGACTTGCTTTTGTTCCTTACAACTTTATGAGCTTCTTCTTTCAGTGTTTTCTAATACTAAGTTTAACTTCCAGTGATGCTACATGTGGACCCAGTCAAACTTAGCCGGTTCTCCCCTCACCCTTATAACAATTAGCATTGTTTAAGTTGAAGATTCTATTTTTTCAGTGGTATATATCACTTTCAAACTCACTGATTTCAACTGTATTATGATCACTTGTTCCCAACAGATCTTTATTACTTCAGATTACAAATTAACCCTGTTTCATTACGCAATATTTGGTCTAAAATAAACTTTATTCTTAGTTGGTTCTACAAAATATTGTCCCCGGAATTTGTTATAAAACATTGTACTAACTCAACTTCGAGACTGTTCTTACCAAATGTGATTAGCCCAGTCTAAATCAGAATTAAAGTACTCAGGTTCGGACAGTGAGATCTCCACCACTACTGGGAAGAGGGAGGGCAGAAGGCATATGTGATGATCTGACCACACTACCAAGGACATTTTTCCCTCCCCACCCTTATCTGCCTTCCGGAGGGACCGCTCTCTCCGTGACTTCCTCGTCCGCTCCACACTCCACCACCCCCAGCATCTTTCCCCGCAACCGCAGGAGATGCTACACCTGCCCCTACACCTCCCCCCTCACCACCCACCCCCCCATCCCAGGCCCCAAGAAAACCTTCCACGTCACACACATGTTCACCTGCACATCTGCTAATGTGGTATATTGTATCCGCTGTTCCCGATGTGGTCTTCTCAACATTGGGGAAACCAAGCGGAGGCTTGGAGACCGCTTCGTGGAGCACCTACTCTTGGTTCGTGACAAACCACAACACCTCCCAGTTGCGAACCACTTCAACTCCCCCTCCCACTCCTTGGACAACATGTCCATCCTCGGCCTCCTCCAGTGCCACAACGATGGCACCCAAAGGCTGGAGGAACAGCACCTCATATTTTGTTTGGAAACCCTGCAGCCCAATGGTCTCAATGTGGACTTCACAAGCTTCAAAATCTCCCCACCCCTGACCTCATCCCAAGATTAGCCCAGCTGGTCCCCGCCTCCTTGACTTGTCTGTCTTCCCTCCCACCTACCTGCCCCTCCCTCCCAACTAACCAACCCCCATCCCAACTCCCTACCTACACTCACCTTTACTGGCTCCATCCCCGCCTCCTTGATCTGTCCGTCTTCTCTCCACCTATCTGCTCCTCTATCCACCTTCCATCATCACCTCCCCATCTATCTATTTATTTCAGAATCCCCTTCCCCTTCCCCTCCCCCATTTCTGAAGAAGGGTCCAGACCCGAAACGTCAGCCTTCCTGCTCCTCTGATGCTGCCTGGCCTGCTGTGTTCATCCAGCTCTACACCTTGTTATCTCAGATTCTCCAGCATCGGCAGTTCCTACTATCTTTGTGATTATCTGCTGTTACATTAGTGGAAGACCCAAAGAAACCCTAGATAAAGCAGCACATGACAAGGAAATGCACCGCAGAAATTCACCTAACATCTTGAAATGAGGAGCATCGGGAAGAGGAGTTGGACAAAAGACCACAGTCAAGTTTTCAAATTCAAGATGCAGCTTTTTCTTGAGAGATGTACCATACAGGTAACATCCAAGATTCAAGTGCCAAGTCAAAATAAAAATCGAAATATAACATTAGCAAAGAACGTGGGTAATTTTAGCTTAACATTCCCAGCAGGGAACCAACTAGATCGGATCAAGCACTCATTTTCAGTTTCAACTGAAAATAATCTTATTCAATCTACAAGGTTAAGATTAGTCCCATAGTTTTTGAAGGCCAAAGGTCAGGCATCTCCTTAGACTGTGTCACTGTGCCTAATAAATCACATCCCATTCTGCTGCCCTGCCCCCAGGGTCTTCACTCAAAATCAGCAACAGATCAATGCACACACTTTGGGGTGTTGTTTATTTTCACACAAAAATCACAATTGTTTTGGATTTTTAATTTCAGTTAAAAATCTTCATATATGAACAATTCATGTCTAAATAATAGGAAAAACAATTTCTGAAATTAAAAGCAAATAAATGTATTCAACTCTGATTAGGTTTTAGGATCCAGTTCTGCCAATTTTTTTCAGAAGAGAAATTTAAGGTGAAATAACCAAACCAAGACTTTAGCGATTTTTACATTCATCCAGGGCGTGTTCGCTTCACTGGTTAGGTCAGCATTTATGGCTCACCCTAATTAGCCTTTAGTAGGTGGTAATGAGCTGCCTTCTTGAATTGCTGTACACCCACATTGATGTTAAACAGAGAGTTCCAGGATTTTGACCTAGCAATGGTGAAGGAACGACAATATATTTCCAAGTGAGTGGCTTGAAGCGGCAGTTTGGAAGTGATGGTGTTCTCATCTATCGGCCGCCCTTGTGCTTTAGAGGTTGTGGTTTGGGAGGTGGAAGGTGCTCTCTATGGAGCTCAGCTGAGTTGGTGCAGTATAACTTGTAGTTGATACATGCTGCTGCCACTGTGTGTTGGTGATGGGAGGAAGTGAATCTTGAAGTTAGTTAAATTGGGTATCAATCAAATGGGTTATTCTGTGGGGAAGAGACTGATGTGTTGTTAATGCCAAAGTCTAAAGGTTGTGTTTGCATACAAATTATGCACTGCTTTAACTGCATGTGCAAATATGAAGTGTTTTGGGTGGTGGGGAGGGTTGGGGGGTTGGTGGGAATGCGGCCCAGGGGAGGGCAAGTTCAGGGCTGGGAAGAACAGGGAGATTGGGAAGAGAGGGGACTGTGTGGGACCCACAAAAGAACTGGAAGGTGTGCTGAGAGGGGGGTGTTGGAGACACAGATGGGGGGGAACAAGGAGAAAAGGATCTCCTGCATCTTGGCATCCACCTTTTTGCCCGGCCTCTTCTTTCCTCACTCCAAAAGTCTCCCCCAACGCCATCCTGCATCCGGTAGCTCTCTCCCCACCAGAAGTGCCCTTTCACAATCACAAACACTTCCCTGCACTCAATGTCATATGTAAATTCCATGTGATGACAAACTCTGTTGGAATCATGCACATTCCTGATTGACCACCCATACGTAGTTGCCTGCAGTCATGTGTATCAGCAAGCACTGAGTCTAGAAACCTCATCTCAAGAGAATAAAACCAATGAATTAGTTTCACCTGTTTTCCTCAATTGACACTAACAAACGCTGAAGATAAATATGTGCCTGTTGACCATTTTCAAGTGAAACAGAACAAACATCAAGACAAAACCTGCAGTTCAAGACAGCTGAAAAACTTGTGAAATATGAAATTAATTTTTTTTCAAGCAAAAACATTGCACTCCCAATATTCTCAACCACTTATGACTGAGTAATGCATTAACGGTTTATTTGAACAGGTAATGGTTTATTTCTTAAACCAGGTTGGAAGAAAATCATCCTTTGAACAAAAATACTCTTCAAAACATTTATTTTTTTTCCAATGCAAAAATATGTTCATTGTCATGGGGCACATCCTTATTTTCTTAATCCTGACTGCTGATTTAACCAAAACACAGTAACTTTTAATATAATCTTCTGGAATATCCTACAGTTTAAAGTACACAATCAAAATCCGTGCTGATGTCTAATTTTTTAAAAAAAATGTCTTATGGGAATTTACTTGGAACAAAACAAAATTGTCCCTAAAGTCCCTCACTTGAGAAAGGATGTATTGGCGCTGGAGGGGGTGCAAAGGAGGTTCACTAGGTTGATTCCGGAGTTGAGGGGGTTGGCTTATGAGGAGAGACTGAGTAGATTGGGATTATATTCATTGGAATTCAGAAGATTGAGGGGGGATCTTATAGAAACATATAAAATTAGGAAGGGAATAGATAAGATAGAAGTAGAGAGGATGTTTCCACTGGCAGGCGAAGCTAGGACAAGAGGGCATAGCCTCAAGATTAGAGGGAGCAGATTTAGGACTGAATTGAGAAGGAATTTCTTCACCCAGAGGGTTGTTAATCTATGGAATTCCTTGCCCAGTGAAGTAGTTGACGCTACTTCAGTAAACGTTTCTAAAAAAAAGGTAGATTTTTTTTGAACAATAAAGGAATTAAGGGATACGGTGAGAACGCGGGTAAGTGGATCCGAGTCCATGAAATGATCAGCCATGATCTTATTGAATGGTGGAGCATGCTCGTAGGGCCAGACGGCCTACTCCTGCTCTTAGTTCTTATGTCCTTATGTTCTAAAATATGCATTGAAGTAGTGATTCCTTTTACACTGATTCTTGTCAGGATCAGTATGACCAGCCCAAGAAGGAATCTACTTGTAATTACAATACAAAACCTGAATTTATTTTGCAAATAAAAATTATATTTCTGTCATGAAATCTTGGTCTGTCTTAGCATTGCTTTGAAAATGCTCTCCCCTGAAGTACCTTATCAAACACATATACCACTTAGAAACAATGTCTACATTAAGCCATTGTTGAGCAACTTCATGGAAAGTGTATCTCTCTGTTCAAGTCCAACACATGAATCTGGATTTTATTATATTTTTTCTGGAGTCTGTTTGGTATGTTTGAGAAGGTGGAGGGCGGGAGAATAACAGTGCTGTAAACTACTGTGTATGACTTGTCCTTTGCCTGCCTGTTCACTCCCATCCTCTCTCCCACCTTACGGAGTAGTTTGTGGACTCCTCTTCCCTGGGTTTTTTCAGAACCTCCATAGGCCACTCAAGTGCCTCATTTCACCCCAACACAGGATGTACAATTGCAAAGTCATGATGTCATTAAAAGGTGGCTGTTAATCTTTAATTCCTTTGACTAATTTAATACAAGGAACTTTCTTTAAAAGCAACAGCTTTAAATGTGACAGGATGCTAGGTTTTAAAATGGCTGTAGAAGTCAGCTGACTTTAAGAGAAGCTAATTTTCCACAAACCTCTGACATGGATTAAGAGGAGACATGTCTAGGCAGTCCCCTGCAAAAATTTCACACTTGCCATTGTTTGAAAACCTGGACAAAGCTTAAGGACACTGAACAACAGCCATCTCATCTGCGTGCTGTTGCAGAAACAAAGAAATGCATCAAAAACAATTATGTAAGACATACTGAAGATTCCCCTTCTGTTTTCATGGAATCTGGATAGTTTTTCCTTAGTATGGATAATGTCTATTGTGTGCCATAGCCAGCAGTTACATGATCAAAACCCCACCTGGGAGGAACTAATATTATAGACTTGTCAATTTGATGCAGAAGGATAGTCACATCCAACAGAGTCAGAGCACTGCCACAGTAACAGCAAGAAGAAGGACACCTCACAGAATATGACATTGCCTCTCTCCTCACTCTACAGTTCTCAGCTCGGACACTTTCTGACAAATTGGAATACATCACAGAGTCAGAGAATTAAAATAATTAAAAGAGCTTCAAATTCTATATCTCCCACTCTAAGAAAAGGGCTGATTGCAAATTAAAAGAGATTGTCGTCAGGAAAACAATCAGCTCAGCCACAACCCACATCAGAACTTCAAGGTCAAGATTGAAACTGATAATTCTTTCACTTCTGAGCTTCAACATTTTACTCAATTCTGCCTCGCCTCACCCTTAACTTGTTCTTATTCCTTGAATGACAATGCGTATGTGCATATATTATGGGATTTGGAGCAGGTTTTATCCTTCTATCAAAGTTTATACTTTGTACTGAGTGAATTGACAATAAAACAAACTCCTTAACTTTGATGAACTCAGGAGATTGGTACACAGCTTTGCGCATGGTTAAATATACAGTGAAATGTAACCAAATGCATAACTTAAAAAAAAATCAAATCTCGAGGTGAAAAGAGTGTAATTTGTTTACCTCTCTTAACAACATGTTCAGATACCTAGGGACAAGTGGTTCCAACAAGGACAGATAGGCAAACAGCTGCATTTGTAGATCCATACACTCAACCATAAGAAGTACAGTGATACAATGTGGCCTATTTCAGTCCATAGAGTGGTAGGAATTCACTCAGAAAAGCTATGCTGCACACCACACTTCTCCTACAAGAAAGAACGTACCCACAAGCAAGAATTCAAATCAGAAAATTGTTAAATTGTTCATTGTCTAATGTCTTTGCTCTTTGTAATGTCCAACCACCTGACTAACGAAGAAGATGAAAGGAAGCAACTAGAGCCTCTGGGGTCTAATGGCTTCAAAGAAGACACACTCAGCAATGAAAGAGTGCAATATTAAATAGGAAAAGTGTTTCCTGAAGTTTCAATTTTGTACACCACAGTGCAGAAATCTGATTTGTTTTATGGCTGATGAATAAATGAGGCTGGCTGACCAATACTATTAGAAGGGGACTACTGTTTGAGAATCACAAATAATCAGCCTCAATATAAGCCTGAATGGAGAGTGTAGTCTCAAGTGGGCAAGCAGGGTTCCATCGTATTAAATGGTACTTACAGCACTGAAACCGGTCACTTGACAGATGCATACTCGTGTCCCATGCTAATAAGCTTTGTGTTTTTCAGTCAGTTAACAGAAAGCTGTGTTCCATGCACAGCCACAGGGTAATAAAACCTCATCTTTTGCCAACTTGTGCCTAACCTTGCTTGTATTGGACAAGTATGGCATTATAGTCTACACTTCATGTTAGGCAAGCAGAACTCAGCTTTGACAGGTTTCTCAGTCACTTGATTGAGAGAGTCTTAATAGTATTTGATCATTTTGCATATGTATCAAATCCCTAAAACTTACGAAAATATTGGTTTTCTCCCCAAGATCTTTCTGTACATTAAATTTCTGATTATTATACATCCAACACTATTTCCACTGGATAAGGGTTATTTAGACCCAAAAGGTTGCCAAAAGCTTCTAATGTTAACCTTAAAAAGAGCAAATAAATAATTTTGCAAAGAACCAACTTACTGATGTGAAGTTTGTTTTTGTCTGGCTCTGGTTTTGGTTTTGTGCTTCTTGCTCTTGAAACTGTAAACCTGCAAGATGCTTCTCTAGGGCCTCCCAATCCATGGTTGGAAGCTGTGCTTCTTCTGTAACAAAAGTCCCCGAGGTCTCCAACTGCTTCATGGCCACGCTGCCACTCGTTATTTGCAATGCCTTCTGTAGCTTTGGAAGAGTCTTATTTTCTTTTCCACTGCGTTTAGTTGGAGCTATATTGCCATTTTGTTTCATTTCACCTGTAGTAACAATCGAAGGTACTGGTGGGATGACCTTAACTTCTTGAAATTCCTGTGCTAAACTCCTGCTAGATGCTTTAACAAAGCCATTGTTCTCAGAGTAGTCACCATATTCATTTTCCCACTCTTCTATCACCTTCTTTTTATATTCTTGATAATCCTCATCTTCCTCATAGTCCCCCAATGTGGCAAGATCCAGACTCGGTGAGGATTTGTACTCAGAACATGGTGTCACTTTGTTGGAGCTTGATTCGGAACTTGCTCGGCTACAAGGGTCACTTCCCAAATCCATACCATCTTCCCTGTAATCCTGAGGAGGAAATACAGTACAATTCAATAAAAATACTTTTGGTCACCTTTGCATAATAAAATATTTACCGGAGTTTATTCTCAAATTATTTCTTAAAATTATGAAATTCTTGAATGTTGGCAGACTTTTTGAATACATGACAGATACCAGAGATAAGTACATTTCCTCCTGACAAATAGGATTTGTATTTCAATATACATGGGGTGAATTTCCATGAGTAAACATTTTTGTTGATTATTCAGCTTTTCCACAGCTATAGTACTGCAGTTTCAGTGAGCTAGAGAGCTCCTCCCTTTATAAACCACAGACAGTGCAGATACCAATTGTAGTAATAATGTATCTTGTTTAAAATAACCTCAAAGTTTGAAACACATTTGTTATATTTCAAGCCAGAACAAGGAGGTTTATTTTGAAAATTTAAAATGATTACTTCAATATTGTTCATTCGTGTCAGCTTTACGTATATTTTATGCTACAGCTTCATTTAAGAGATCTATTTTCTTGAAAATATTTACTCCTCCTTTGTTTATTATTACTTTATCCAAAATATAAGACTTAAACAAACAACATCAAATTATTTTGCAGGCATTCACTGATTCCAGTATTTGTTACAAGAGTTTGTTTATTTAGATAAATATTTGCAACTTTGCCTTTAACTTGCACATTTTACCCTAAAGTAACTTTCACAGCAATGCTGTGAGAAAAGGATCACAATCTTTTGGTTTTAGTCACTCCTGTCAAGCAACACAATTAAAGTTTGTCTGGACTGTATTTGTATTTAGAGAATTTACCACTGCCAAGAAACTAAAGCATAACACAAACAGAACAACAAGGTTGACTTAAGCCCAGACTGAGTCCTTTCTGGTTTGAATATTGATTAAATAGAATCATTGACTCAAAGACATATTTGTTTCTGAGAGGGAAGATAATCACCAATTATCACAGAACTTAATTACCTGTGTGGAATCGTAACTCTAAATGTCCCACCAGTTTTCTGCACTGAATTTGTGAATCCAATAGAATGAATCAAGTGCAACACTAGACAAGATCATCAAATTAATTCTAAGTAGTTTTTATCATTTAGGACTTTGCAAATCAGTGACCTCAACTACCAAGAAGGTCAAAAGCAGCAAAAGCATAGAAAACGGGCCCTAGATTCCTTTTAAAATCATACCCCATTCTGACATAAACCTACACTGCCACTCTGTCATGACCATTGTGTCAAAATCCTGGAATTCCTAGCCTACCAGAGCCAAGGCAGTACATTCAGAACCAGGACTCACCACCATCTCTAAATTCAGGCATGGACAATAAACGCTGACCTTGCTGGTAACATCTACACCTCATTAAAGTCTTACTTTTAAGAAAATCAATTAACCTACACCCACTGAAAAAAAAATCTACTCTTGGGAATCCTAGAAATAGGAAACCAGAATTATTAACGATGTCAAAGTAATGCAAGTAAATTAACTACTGGCCTTTGAGTTTTGTGGCCTTGGTTCAAATCTAGCCTGGTCTAACAGGATGAAAGATTCTTCCATCTGCTGACCACAAAGATAATCTATCCAGTTTCCAATAGCATAAGCAGTGATTCTGACCATTGTAGTCAGAAACCAAACAACAGTTGATCTGAAAAATGAAAATGTAGAAATTGAGGATATTTTCTTTCAAAATATATTTCATTCATAAAAATATCTATATAGATATATTGTCACTGAAGCAGTTCAGTTCTGTACAGTAGCATAAGAAGAAACAAACAAACATTGGAGTTTGATGCTATCCAACAAACAAACCAAAGATATTTCTTACTTGAACAAGATTATATTTACATATATTTGAGGCATCAGTACAGCCCAGTAACTGAACGAACCCCAATTTAACTTGAACAGAAAGGCCTCAGACTGTGGTCTTTCCCCACTGCGCCTTGGTGGCAGCAGCCCCAAGCTTTAGTGCATCCCTCAGCACATAGTCTTGGACCTGGGATTGTGCCAGTCTGCAACACTTGGTCAAAGTCAACTACGTGCTCTGGAAGACCAACAGTTTCGGACTGACCAAAGAGCGTGTTTCACCGAATTGGTGGCCCTCTAGAAGCAGTTGATGTTTGTCTCAGTGTGCGACCATACAGCAGAGTCCTGTGTCACAGCGTTGCTCAAGACGAACCTCGACAAAAACAACTGCATCTTCCTCCAGACGTCCTTTGCAAAGGCACATTCCAGCAGGAGATGTGTGACAGTCTCTACACCTCACAGCCACTTCGAGGGCAGCGTGTGGTGCCACAGAGTGTCCGGGCGTATATGAAGGATCTCACAGGTAGTGCCCTTCTCACCACCAGCCTAATGATGTCTTGGTGCTTGTTGGGAATTTCTGGTGATGAGGCATTCTGCCAAATGACTTTGACAGTCTGGTCAGGGAACCATGTGGCAGGATTCACCCTCTTCTTTTCCCACAGGGTGTCATGGATGCTGCATGCTGACCACTTCCTGATGGGACATGTGGTCAAAGGTGTTTTTCTTTGCAAATTTCTCCACAAAGGACAGATGATACAGAACTGTCTAACTACTTGGTGCATTCCACAGCATCGAAGCCAGACACCAGGGCCAGGTAGAACATCAGTACATAGTGCCACTTGGTGTTTGCGTACCGAGGGTCTACGCACAGCTTGATACAGCCACACACAAAGGTAGTCATCAGGAAGAGGGTGGTGTAGGGTATGATCTTCCTCCTTGCTTATCCAGAGCATTGTACATGGCATCCCTGCACACTCGGTCCATCTTAGACCTCCAGATTAAGTGGAAAATGACTCAGGTCACTGCAATGGCGCAGGTTCTGGGAATAGGCCAGATCTGCACCACATACAAAAACCTTACACCCAATGACCAGGTTTTTACTTGCAATGGAGAAGAAGTGTTGATCCTAGAAGACCAGTTTCTGCCTAACCTTGGTAATACGCTCCTCCCAAGTTTTTGCGCATGCCCTGGCCCCTTGAACCATATTCCCAGCACCTTCAGGTTATCTGTCCTAACAGTGAAGGGAATAAAGGATCGGTTGGCCCAGTTCCCAAAGAACATGGCCACACTCTAGCCTCGATTTACCTTGGTTCCCGAGACCGGTTTGAACTGGTGACAGATGGTCATGAATCTATGCACTGACAGTGGATCCGAGCAGAAAACAGTGACATTATTCAAGTACAGCGAAGCTTTGACCTGCAGGCCTCCACTGCCAGGAATAGTCTCCCCTCTCAGGCTTGCATCTTTCCTGATTGACTCAGCAAAACGCTCTATACAACACACAAACAAGGAGATGGTGGGCAGCTCTGCCTGACTCCGGATCTGAACGGGAAGCTTTCTGATTCCCAACCACTACTGATATTGGTGTAGAGCAGTTGGATTCAGTTACGGATTCCTCCCCAAAGTGCATTTTGGAGGGCACATCCCACACATACATGTGCGATATCCTGTCAAAGGCCTTTTCCTAGTCCAGGCTCATGAGACAGGCATCCACCCCCCTGTCCTGCATGTAGGCGATCGTATCCCTGAGGAGCACAAGGGTCTCTGAGACCACCCTGCCCAGTGCAGCAGAGGTTTGGTCAGGGTGAATCACTGGCGCCAGAGCAGACCTGACCCAGTTGGCAAAGACCTTAGACGGGATTGTGAAATCTGCATTCAGCCCCAAAATTGGTCGCCAATTTCTAATTTCCTCCCTCTCCCCTTTCCACTCACACGAGGGTGACGATACCATTCTTCATGGATTTGCACATACACCTGCCAGAAACATACTGTCATACACCTCTAGAAGGTCCTGCCCAATCAAGTCCCACAGAACTGAATACAGTTCGGCTGGTAGACCATCGCTTCCAAGAGTTTTATTCTTTTCTAAGGACTTGAGGGCATTAATTAGCTCATCCAGAGGTTACGGCTGGTCTAGACTCTCCTGCGTGCTGTCATCTAAGACATCGGTGATGGAAGACATAAACAATTGGGAGGCTGCACTGTCTCTGGGTTTCATGTCATACAGCCTGGCATAAAAGGATTTGTTGATCCTCAGGATGTCAGACTGAGATGACATTATCAAGCCATCTTCTTCCTTCAGACTGCTGAGCACAGAGTGTTCCTCGTGCACCTTCTGGAAGAAGAAATGCAAGCATGTCTCATTCTACTCTATGAGATGGACCCTGGGCTGGAAGGTTATCTTGGAGGTCTCTGAGGCAAACTGAGGCTTGCTGACTCCTCACCTCCTGGAGATCCTCCGTATCATCAAACCCCATTGTTTGTAGCAGGAGTAGGTTCTGCATGGTTCTCTGGTGTTTTGTGTGTGTGTACCTATCTCTCTCTAGCCTCCTGAACACCTTTGAAGATAAAGAATCTCTTGATGTTACCCTTGACTGTTTCCCATCAGTCTGCTGGACACTCAAAGATGGGCTTCACAATTCTCCAAGCTATGTAATCTTTCTTGAATTCCTCAATGTTTTCTGGGGTCAGAGTTTCATGTTCAACTTCTATGTTCACTTGCCGGCCTGCTGGTCATCCTGTAGGTGACAGTTGGCCAGCAGGAGGCAGTGGTCAGTGAGGATCCCCAGCTGTGCATCGGCAGATCTGATCGAGAACGTGCAGGATGCAAACAGGAAATCTACCCTTGAACGGATAGACCCACCTGACCGTGACCAGGTATACCTATGGTGTGTGCTGTCTGCAGGGGTGCTGAAGATGTGCAGCTTTGCAACCTTCATTGTTTCCATCAGGAATCTTGAGGATGCCAACCTAAAGATGTCATTCATCCTTGCATGTCAAAGTCATTTCTGACTCCTGGAATTTCATCCCTTCACAGTACAATTTCAATGCAGTTATCAAATCTGTTTAAAAAATATTCAGTGGGTCTCTTGAGCTCATCATAATTTACTTTGATGTTTTCAGAGTCCAGACATTACTAACTACACTATCAAACCATCTAAAAGTTTAACAGCTCGTTATGAAGTTCCATGCAAATCTAAATGGTGAAGGAGGGAAATCTGAATTACAGCCAAGTGCTATAAGCAAGTTGTTATCTGACTTGAATTTATACTGTTAACACTCAGTCTCAGACTGATAACCATGGCATAAATCCAGCCTTAAGGGAAGTGTACAAATGACTCACCAATGAGTTACAACTTTCTTCAAAACTACACACCCATTTTGCCATTTCTACAAGCTAATAATCTTAGAATTAAGAGGATTAGGTGGTACCCGAATTAATATGCCTTGCAAACTTCAAATGAGGTACACTGTGGTGTAATAAACCAAAATTATGAACACTTATGCAGTATTTTGTCCTCTATTGATACAGTTCTAGATCAATTTCCACTACACTTTAAGATTAAAAAGATCAACCTGCGATAGCAATTAAAGCTCCATGAATACACATAAACCACAACACAAAACAGCAACTATAGAATTTAGTGAGCAGAGTTGAAATTTACTACTGATTAATGGCTCAGACTATACCATGCAAACTAAATCTAACAATGTTCATTGATCCTGTTACTCTCAGTTTGTACTCTTGTTCTTACTTGTTTTCTGGACTAAGCCGAGATAGGCTTAACACACCCAGGAGTACAAGGTGGAAATCGCTGAACACTCACTTAATAGGTTTGTAAATCTTACGATGGATCTTTAATTGGACAAAACAGTTCCCATCTGAGACTGAAACTGTTGTATTCAGCCAATCAGCACACCATGATGTCAAACATTGACAGGGAAATGATTTGTTTGACTATCCCACTTGGTGGTAATACATACTTGTATCTCAGACATGCTTGTATATTTTATTTCTGCAGACTGTAAACAAGCACATGACCCACTGGCAGGAAACACATATCAAAAAGGCACGACAGGTCTTCTCTGTGTCTCAACCATTTGTATACATTGTTCTTGTAAAACAGATCAACACTCCTGGGATTATTTTCTTCCCTCATCACCGCTTTGTTTTCTCACCATATATCTGGATACTGATGAAATAAAACATGGAACATTCTGCTTGATTGTTTAGCAGCCGATAATTACACATCACATTCTACAAATTCACGTTAAACAGACAATAATTTAATTTTCATTGCCAGGCACATTTCATAACAGATGCATAATTAAAAATCTGGTAACAAGAATTAAACCATCGTTTTGATGAGGATAAATGCAAATAGCTTCCATAAAGCATTCTGGAGAAATGAGAAACAGATTTGCCCATGCCGAAACATGTTTTATTGCAGTCACACTGTGGATCCTCTTTAAGCTATTCTACACGGGCAGGTGCTGCTTATTCCTGAAAAAAAACACAAGATCTTGGGCCTTCAGGGCCTAAGCTGAGCTTCTGGAGCATGTGTTATGAACCATTTACCAGCGACAGCAGCAAGATAGCTTAAAGGAGATGTACGTTGCAACTGCGGATTTAGCTGGGGGTCCTGGTCCTGGTTAACGTTTGTAGTTTCAGCCCTTCCTTGCCCTTTGCCGATAGCGAGTTACAGAATGCGCATTGGCGGCAAAAGGCCAGAACTCTTGACAAAAAAACAAACCAAAGAAACACAATAATATAAACTCCAGGAAGTTAAAGTGGTTAATCAATCCTCTTTCCTATGATATTAAACTCTTATCTTGCAGTCTTGAAGTTTAATTAAAGGGAAGAGAAAGAAAAGGAACTAGTTAAGATATGTGAAACACCGCAGACGGGGGGTTAGCGGAGAGATCAGCTCCCGGCTCCTCTATCCCTGACTCCAGCTACTTGACTGCTCAGGAACGCACACAGCTGCGGCTCCAGCTCCTGGAAGCTGCCAAACAAAGGGGAACTTCACAGGAAAAGGAGACGGAATAAGAAAAACCTGACTGTGAAGCAGTGCTGTACTTACAACGGGAATGATTCCGGCTCGGCATAGAGGCAGCTAGCGGGGATTAAGAAAGAGGGAGCGGACTCCCTGCTTTCATCTCACCGCCACCGTCCTCTTAAAAGGGAAATGTGCTGGGAAGTACCTTGCTGAAGCTATTCCACACACCTTTTCTTTTCTCTCTGTTTGAAATGTAGCATTTAGCCGACAGTGACAGTTTTATAGTGAAAGTTTAACTAAGTACAAACTGTGAGGACTGGCTTCCCACCTAAAAACAGCGCAATCAAAGCTCAAAAAAGGCAAGGGCTAATGAGTGAAATGAACTCGCTCTGTCGGTATAAGGGGCGACAAGTGATTTTTTTTGCCACACATTTTAATGTTTCCCTTTTAAAGTAAGATTTTGACGTCAGCCAACAAGTATGTGGATTTGAGAATCAGTTCTGGCAGGATGGGTTGGGTGCACCGGGCACAAAGCTCTTCTCTGTCCAGCAGCTGGAGCTGGAGTTTCAGGCAGAGCTCAGCTCTCCTCGCCCTGCGTTCAAGGCGAGCGGCAGACTAAACACCCAATCTCTGGCCACACTTTCAGCTTGTAGCTGGGCGGCATTCTCGCCAAAGTTACATCGATGCAAGTCCTTTTAACCCCCAGCTACCAATTGTGATTCCAATCATAACGCGTCCCACCATACCCCAAAAGCAAAGTGCATTTCTCAAATTTTAAAAACAAAATTTGCTGGAATATGACTGTACAAACTGACAATATTCGGACCTGTCAATGTCTCCAACGTGAAACTGAACTGAAGATGCGGAAAAAAACAAACAGCACAGAACTTGCTGAGATTCTCACCACTGTAGCCAGATACACATACAACTGAACAGGACCAAACATAATGTAACGTCACTATTATAGCCTGCATCCTCTTAAATGACAATACTTACAGTCATTTTCTGGTCCAAAATTTCCCATCAAGTCATTGTCCAGTGCAGATCACGATTTTCTAAGCTGGGCCCCCATAAAAATCTCCTATTCTTTTCCCATGCCTCTGGAACCCATCTTTCCAGGACTCTAGTTTAAAAGGAGATTTTTGCACGGAATGCTCAGCTGATATCTGCCGGCAGCTTGAGGTAGCAGCGATCGAGATAGTTCCGGTGATAAATGTCAGTGAGATGGCAACCGAATGGGCGACGTGCTGCGATGGTGCGGAATCAGTCGCAACCTCCCAAAATGAATTCAGAAGCTTTCCCACTCTTTCCGCGCCCGGCCTTTTTACACGCAGCGACCTTGTATGAAAACGTCTGTCTCGTCTGAATAATTCATGGAAGTTGTTATGAGTGCTTTTCGTTTCCGCGCGTGTTTTAAATCATTCATCGCAGGCTCATGTTGGTCCTTCGGTTTAATTTTTAAGAGCATGATCCGTCATGTGAAGAAGCATCCACAGCGACCGTGCCACATACAGTAAAACCAGCGGAACACCTAGCGCACCTGGACTGCTAGCAGCAAGTTGGAGAAATAGCGATGATATTCCGAGAGGCTGTCAGAACCTGCTAGCCGCAGTAACTGGCGATGTTGCTCCCCTTGCAGGGAAACTGAACGGATTCCAGTTTTAAAAGTGCCATTTCTTTCCGGTCCCAAGTCCGACAGCGGGGAAAAGAAGCCAACCGGAGAATCTCTTATTTTCTTGGTGAGTGTGTGCTGACAGCGCTGCAGCGACCCGTTTGCTGGCTGCAGTCGGGAGCGCGTTGCACTGCCCCGTTTGCTGACTGCAGTCGGGAGCGCGCCGCACTGCCCCGTTTGCTGGCTGCAGTCG